TAATGGGTTAAAACAACAAATAATAATCACAATTTATTTGTTTTATGTGTTCATTACAATAATCCCATTTATTTACCAGAAACTTCTAAATGAAATAATATCTGGTTGACGATAAATATCCGCAAATTTGTGTTAGGCTCATCTGGCAACGTTTTCGGTAGGTAGGTATCAATGGAATAATGCGATTAGGTATACTGACCGTTTTAAGGAGTGCTCGTCCAATAGTGCGTAAACTAAAAGATTTGGTAATTTTCTTGGAAGAGTTTGTTTCTTCAATGAAAATTTATGGTTTTTAATTCTTCGGCCGCTTGAAAGTCTCGCCATGTGAAAATAGATTATTTGATAACCTGTTTCGTAATAATTGTAAATACGAACAAAAGCATATTTGCATATTCTAAACAACTGGCCATATCGATTCCAAACTTGTACAGATATGTTTTTTATTGTTTCTGTTTTCAATGAAATAAATTTTATTTGCAAAATACTTAATGTCTAACGACATATCACGCATACATACTACCCCATTTACTATATTTTCAATCTGTGCATTTTTCGCTTCATTCGTAGGAGCCAAGTAAGAAGTATCAGTGAGACCGGCGGACTTTCAATAGCTCGTAAATGAAAAGATTTAGTAAAGTTTCCTAGAACAGTCTGTCTCTTCATAAAAAAATTTAGACATTTTTACTATGAAATATAGGTACAATACGCTATATTCCACTGTTTGTTTTCTTTGAGATACGACTAGTTCTTGTGCCGAAGTGAAACACCAAAAAGTCTAAAGTCCGGAAATCAGAGTGAAATTTAAAACACATAAAACGACTTCTTTATTTATTTAAATATTGTCCTGTAACGTCCTGTGACGTGGAATGGAGTTTCTTAATGTACAAAAGTATGTTAGATAATAACCGAAAAATTTTCTTGATTAAAACTAAAGGAAACACAATTATTACTTGGAATAAAAATAAAGAATATCAAGAACTTGTGCTATGTATTAAAAATATTTAATTTCAAATAAGTAAATTATGTTAATAAACCATAAAACCACAAAAATCTTTTTTTAACACAAATTATATTTCAATAAATTTTCAGTAGCGAATTATCGATATACTTAATTGTATTTATATCATAATAGTTATTTATTATACAAGCGGTTAAAGTGAATGTTTAATGAGCGGCCAGTTTAAGGCGAGAGCGGCGTATGCCGCGAGCGCCTTAAGACCACGAGTTACACATTCATTTTAACCGCGAGTGTAATACAAACTTTTATTCAATTTTGACAACCCCAAGTCCCAAATTGTGAAAAAATTGGTGATTCAAAGTTCACATTCGAGAAACGTCAGAATTGACAGCGACCAAATAAAAGTTTTATATGCGTAGAATTTAGGTTACAATATCAGGTGTGTGTGTGTAGTATGTGACTCTGGTGACGGTGTTTGTTTATTTTAAACAAACTAAAATTATCGAAAAATTGCAAAATCATGCAAGATTCCAACGGCAAAACTTGCTCCCAAAAAAGAGCAAATTTGAAAGTGTATCAAAAGTTCCTTAGATGGAAAGAGCAGCAAGGCATTGGAGAAATTACAGAAATGGTAACCATGGTTTTAAAACAGCAAAATAAAAATTTTATTTCGCTAGCGGTTTAAAAATTTTATGGTGCTACCGGATAAACCAAAGCTTTAGTGGCCTACTGACGGCAAAATAAACGTTTGTTTACATGTCAAAATTGAATAAAATTTATTTATTTTACTTTATACTATGTCAAGTTTGACGTTTTACTGGATCGAACGATTCCGGTAAAATCAAAAAAACGGACAAGTCCGATAAAATTGAGCCAAAAAGGACAAGTGTTCCATTTCCGGAAGCGGCCACTGACCCTTTTGGGTCTCTTTTGCTTTACCTGTTATTGTAAATACAAATGTAAATTTAGTACTTCTGTAACCGTCCTGTATTAAACATCGAAACCGAACGCTGTCTATTATCTCGCACGCAAGAAAACAAAGGTCCTTGGAGCAATATCAAAGTACAATTCGGTATCACATTGTCGTATCAACCAGATTACAAAAAATACTGGTAGGACGAGCCGAGTTGCACAAACATTGGTCCTTCGAGACGGATTGCACAAAACATTCGTCCATCGAGTCGGATTATACAAAACAATAAGTCCTGTAAAGTGTTATAAGTACTATGTGTTTAAACATATGATGCTGATTTGCACGAGTAAACAAATTAAAACATTTACCAAAGAGCGGTTGCTAACGATGTCAGAAAAAGTGACTCGATTTGGATTTTTTCTCAAAATAATAATAATTTTATCGAATAAAAAAGTATGTTGACAGTATGAAATAAAATACATAACATACGTCCGGTAACTCTTTTCGCAGTACTCGTTTCGAAATTAAAGACTCGGCTACCTACTCGTCCTGAAACATATCACTCGTACTGTAAAATTTGAGCTACCGGACCGGACCATATTTAGAATAACTTTAATTACCATTTATGTTTTCATCAACACTAACAAGTATTTAAAATAACAAGTAATAATTTGTTTGTATTGTTTATTCATTATAATAATTCCATTTATTCACCAGAAACTTTTAAACGAAATAAAATCTAATCGACTAGAAATAACGGCAAAGTTGTGCTAGGCTCATCTGGCAACGTTGCAAATTATATAAATGCTTACTATGAGATTTTTACACATTGTTTTCGTCGCCCTCTGTCGAGTGGTAGCTTTATTAAATGTATTGTTGCTGCGATTTGGCTTATCTACGCGCGCGATTGGTGTCCAAGCTTTTCGCCGGCGTTTGACGGCCGACTGTTGGTGCGCCATCTCTTGTTCGCCGGCCGTTGGCCTGTTCGCTCCAAACAATAGCATGGGTCTATCTATATGTATTTAATCAATGCTATAGATAAATATATGAACAGAACAGGGATCTGGATATTCAGTTTTCTCCCAACCGTGTCGATACTTCGTTCAAATTTCATTTTCTATTATATTAACCTTTTTTTTGTTCAATGTTCATACAAAATAAAGTATTGCTTGATTTGAACAATATATGTGTAAACTATGAAAATAAGTATAATATGCGATAATTAAAAAAAAAACTTTCAAAGATTAACTATCTGCAAAATGTGTTCCATAATTTTGATTTTTTTTCCAAAAATCTGGACGTTTTGACTAAAAACTCAATACGGGGTCATAAACTACATATGTAGGACTATGTTATTTTATACAATTAAAACCCATTTACTATGTACAATTTTGAAGTGACATCATCACATAATTGGTGGGGATGATTAGACAAATTTTGGTTAGCGTTTTACCATCTACATGATATTCCTAATATAAATACAAAATTTGACAACAATCGGCCCAGTACTTTCGGAGAATATCTGTCTAAAAAAAATCCGTGACGGCGGACACACGGACAAGCGGACGGACGAACAGACAGAAAGGCAGACAGACAGAAACGGGAGACCTATTTCTTCTTCGTTTCTTCCACTTTTATTAAAAAATGATGCAAACAACCCAGTTTTTACAATTCAATACATTAATAGTACTAGAGGCCGGTGCCGGCATAACAAATGTTGCATTATTTTCATTCATTTGTACATTCTTGTGTATATTTTGAATTTGGACACTGTTTTCTCGTAAAATTGTTGCCGCCGGTTTTGTCTTGTTCTTGATGATATTTTCTATGGATCCATCTGCAATATTATTTTACTCTTCCAACCTCCATGATGTTTAACCGCAAAATCTGCCCTGGAATCTTTTAACAAAGAGGCAGATAACTTCCTGAAACCATGTCCAGTATATTCCTAAAAATCAACAAGTTTCAAAAAGTAGCAATAATTGTTGGCAAATTGCCAAAAGTGTGTATTCCAACTGCTTGTTCTGAACATTTATTATTTCCAAAGAGACAAAAACCGATCATGGTCAGTGTGGAGTGGACGCATTAGAATACATTTTCCAAGTTGTAGTATTTTTAGTCCTATTCTCCAGCAATTGTAGTTTTTGTATTTGGTAATAAAACTCGAAAAACTCGTCCTTCATCGATGACGTTTTCTATACCCAAATCCTTCAGTTCTGCCCTCCTACATTTTCCACTTACATTAGGATTAATCTAAAAAAAAAAAAAAAAAATGTAAAAAAAATAGGTATTTGAGTTCTCGTACCTTTATCATTAAAAACGCTTTATCTTCTGCTGCTAAAAGAAATTGTGATGTCCTGCTTGGTAAAAATTCTGGACTTAGCCTTAGGTGACTAAAAATTGCGCTTCGTAACATCAAGTCATACTGCATAGAAGAACCGTTTCTATCTTTGGATAACAGTTTAAAATACGTGTAAATTATCCCACCTAAAAACTGTTCACTACATGGAAACGGCAAAGTAGTGGGAGTTTTTGCTGTAAAAAATTATTCATTACAAAGTTCTAATTTTTTTCCTAACTTACTACCAGATAAAATTTTGTCATTTCGATCGATCGTAACCGATTGTTATGGTTACACGTCGTGTTATCAGACGCAGTCTAGACCTTGTCTAATCTTCATAATGACTGGCGTTACGATCCTTATAACTCAGTAACTATTAATGTATAAAAGATTTAGCATATATAACCGACCGTCCATGACTAGTTCCGCTGGTTTCCTCAATTTGATATGGATTTACAAAAGATCCTGGCGGGATTGACACATACAGTTTCTTTTGAAATTCGGCAAAACCTGTGTGACCACATGTTTAAAGATATTGCAAGCGTTGCCCGTTAACTTAAGTTACTGAGTGCGGTTTTAGCATTACACGCATTCTTTGTGTATAATTTTCAAGATGGGTCTAGCCACCATAAAATCGTGCTTATCAGCGTGTAACTGTAAAATTTATTGCAGAATACTGAATTTTATTACGCACTAAAAACGTGTTTTATTCATATAATTTTTACACATTGACCCGTATCGTTTAACATGCATTACAATGCAGTTCACTAATCAATTTTTTTTTCCAGTTTGGGGTACAGAGCTTTCATGTTGGCAATACAAAATCAAATATCCGTCCTATCGAAAATACTCGAAACGAAGGTTCAGCATCAAAAAATCATAGAGTATCAACAAGCAGTTTCAGCGTCTCTTAACAAAATTTCATCACCGATTCCAACTCGATCACGTAGAATAAGCTCGAATCACGACAGTTCTAGTCAATGTGGTTCGTTAAAAGACAAGAAACCCAGTAATCTGGATGCGAGTGACAAGCTCAACGAAGTAAATACAAGTTCCAGTGGTGTTAAAGAGAATACGAATGAATCTAGAGATAATACAGTAATACAGGAGACTACTGGTTGTGTTATTACGTAAAATATACGTTTTTCGTCTTTGGTACAATAGAAAATTCATTTTGAAGGTACAATAGATCAGTGTTTATATACTCTTGAGTGTACTTACTTACTAAAGGAAATTGGAAGAAACCGACTAAAACGGTGCCATTTCAATATTTTAGAACTGCCTAAGTAAAAATCCGTCTTAACAAGTGATAGATATTTTAATTGTTTTATCTTTAGGTTCAGAGATGAGGAAACGTATGAATAAAGAAGAGTAAAATTCTGGGTTATAAAATTATTTCTAAATTCCTCATAGTTTATGTAATTTTAAATCAATGCGTTAACTTTATTCATACGACCCAATATATTATGATTTTATTATAAATGTTCGTCTTCGGCAAATGTGCAAGTAAGAAATGTTTCGACTTCAATTGTGTTGTGCCTCGCATTTATAACAAGATGTAAAAAAGTGTGTTGCATTCCGTAGATCTTTATTCCAATGCTGAAGAAATATGATGTGTAATTTGCTAATTAAAATGTAATATATTTTTGCAACGCTAAGCAAATCAATTTTTATGATATTAACTCAGCATTAATGAAATTACGTAATAATTTTTGTTCAGCAATAACAATCGATTTTACACTAGTTATTTACAGCATGTCATTTGATAAATCAACATGGGTGATACGGTGTTACAATTAAGTGTCATAGGTTTTAACATCTGTTTGTGATTCTAATAATCGTTGGTCAATTTTTATACAGTGGTTAGTATTAGAAAATATTTAGACTGTCATCAATTACAATAATACTCCACTATTGTTGTATATTTATTTATGTAAGATATTATTTTTCAAGTAATAATTTTATTTTGTAACATACTAAAACAAAAATAAATAATAAGAGTTTTATTCAGTCGCACCATCTAGATGTCCTTGATCTCTCGTTCTTTGCTGAGCTAATCGCTCCTGGTCGTAACCATCAATTCCTAATCCTAATCGTTCTATCGCTTTCTCACCAAATTTTCCATTTAGTTCCTGATATTGTCGGGAACGTCTAGCACCAACCTCCGGATCGAAGTTCCATGCCGATTCTTTGTGAAGCACAGGGTGACCAGCGATATTGAATTGTATTAAGTCTCTTACAACTGTCACAGTACAAGCACATGACGAGATTAAACTAACTAACAATATTAACTAAAAACAATGAATCAATCACTACGTTTTCCACATTTATGTTATTTACCTTAAAGTCTAATCTGCACATGATTTAAAAGGTAAGTGTTGTTATTTGGTGCAATGTCAACTAAGTTCTGTTCAAAATAAGAGAAAGTGCATGTGGTATATGGTTAGTACAAAAAGAAGTGGAAATATTGAGTAATGCATAGTAATCATTGCACAAATGGGTAGGTACTCATTTGCCAATACGTCTTAACGACAAATTAACGTACGTCGACCTAGAAATTTACTCAAACCGAACACTGTGCGAAAAAAGTAATACTCATATTGTGTTTTTTGTCACGGTCAAGAAATAAAATATATTCCAAAAAATAAAATGTTATTGTTAACTACTATTTACACGGTTGACCAATTAATGTTTTATTTATGCTAACGGGGTAATCGTATTAACAAAAATTAAACATAACTGATAAACGGACTACAAGACGACATTCAAAATAAAACTGCCCCAAATTTCGTAACTAGTGAAACAGAAACGAAAGACATTACTAATCTTTTAGAAAGTTGATAGTGCAACTACTTTTTTTTGCTTCTTCTGTGTTTGCAAAATGTTATTTTATTTTGATATGTTTGATTGCATACATTCATAACATTAGCTTCTAATTTTTCATAAATTCTCATATTTTATATATTAACTTCAGTAACTACAGAGATTCCAATTATTTGACTTTAGAATTCAAGAACGGTTGCATAGTGTTACATTTTGTTACTAATCATAAACTTGATGCAACTGCCACGAACTACATTCACCTCTCTTTCCAATGACGGCCTTCACGAGGTATTTGTGAAATGATTCTCGTTTGAGGTGTTGTAAAAATTTCATCATGACTCTTAAGAGTGTGCAAACTAATTAAACAAATTTCATTTTGATCAGTGCCAAAATAGAAAAGTCAAATCTCCAATCTGGTACGATATAGTTGATTGTTGAAACCAGAAAATTTGTTGACGCACAAATTCATGCGTTTCTGTAGACCGTCAGTATTGACCTTGCTAACACTTTCCCACGTTCAGGATTCACGGTCAGCCGTACACAGCTAAAAGAACGAGGAATAGGAGTTAAAATTAAATGAAACCTTGGTACCTTCCGTATAAGATAAATAATTTTTTAATTATTGCTCTTCTATTTTGTTATGTTATGGTCATCTAGTCATCTTCATTTATTAAGGTGGTAAACATTTTTCGCTGACTACCAGTTTGCATCTAGATGACGTAGTTGCGAGACTTGCTGCAATTCCAACGAGCCCGATATGGTTCAGTTGAGTGTAGATGAAGACGTTTTAGTTTAATCTGGTCAGAGCATCTTGTATTCGAGTTTTTATTCACTTCACACAATTTTCTTTCTCTTTTCTTACATTTGATGATCGATGAAATATCAGTCACTCGGTATTATTTATTCTTTTTTAATTTAGTCATCGTCGTATTCATCTTTTCTACTCATTTATTCATTTTCCGTTAGTACGCTCATTTGAGAGTAAGTAGGACTAAATCTGTAGGCAAAGTATAAAATTATGGTTTATTTAGTTTCTTTAATATTTCCTTTCTCTTTCAAGTTCATCTTTTTTATGGCTCTTTTGTGCAATTATTATATGACTACTGATAATTTATGTAACCCACACCAATCGAAAGAGTTACCTACATATGTATTTTTAGGAAATAAACCCATACGCCGCCCCGGTCGACGCCTATGGGTTTTCTAGTATGTGCGACGATGATGGGCGACTCATCATCGTTGACACACATTCCATTTATATATTATAGTGCCGGTATTTGTATCTGCATACCCCACCGGCACCGACTTCACTCTTCCTTCATTCTCTCACCCTCCATCACACAGACCCGTATCACTCAGTCCTCTTTTATTTAAAAACTCATTCATACTCCCATGCCCCGTCAGCAAAAACAACCCAAATAATCCTGGCTCATACCAAACATTTTCACTCGGAACAAAATCATGAGTCACTCTACCCTTCTCGCTCATATTTCATCTTCTTTGCTAGATCTCCTACAGTTTCACATCCAACACACCCTTTTTCTCCAGATTCTCTCCCTCTTCCAGCCTAATCTGCAGCCATCCCAATTCTCCTAGACTCACTTCTCTTTTCGCCCTAAACATCACTCCTCTCCTCAAATATTCCAAATCCCACGATAACTCTCCCATCAACACTTGCATCGCATCCGTACTCACTGTCCTACAAAACACCATGCACCCATACAACACGCTCCTTTGACACCTGTTCACCAACTCCCTCGCATATCCAAACCTCAACACATCACGCCGTACCCCCACACCAAACGAAGCACACGCAACCACTCCTCCTCTATACAGGGTGTTATTGAAAGGTACGTACAACAAAACTGACAGTTCTTCGCGAAGTCTAGGAAGCCTGAAAAACTTAATTTGTGTTATCAAAATTATAAGGGGAAAATTAACCCCTATCCAACCTTTTTAGACGCTACTGAAGGATAAATAGGTAAAATTAATTTATTTTAGTAAATCCTAGCAACTGTAACAATAACAAAAAAATAAGAGACCCTTTTGTTGCTACAGAAACGAAAGATGACATTTTTATCAGAGGCGTACAACGAATTTTTAATTTTTATCTCTAAAAGGAGAACACTTTTACCTGAACTTTTTTTTAATTTTAGCACCCCATACTTCGAGACCAATTGCCGGTTTTATTTTGTACGTACCCTTCAATAAGACAGACACGGAAACCTGTATAACCCTTCAATAACACGCTGTATATCCAGATCCCATTCTTTCCTCAATACACGCCTCAATATCCTCATCACTCCGATTACTATACCTTTTAGACTCTCGATTTGCGGGCTAAAATTCATACGCTCACTAACTCTTATACTCAGATACTTCACCTCTTTCACATACTTCACACGCTTATCCTGAATCCTCATATTCGGCGGTCTCGAGTCAGACAACGATCCCTTCAGAAGCATCATAACCGTTTTCTCCCTGGAGATCTCTACACCCACTCCATTCCCCTAAGCAACCACCACTTCCATCACTTCCGTTCCCACATCCGCAATCTCCTTTTTATTATCCGCCTCAATCATACACAACAGATCATCCGCATACGCCACACACGACATCCCCCTTCTTCCAATCTCTTCCAACAACCCATCCATCATGATGTTCCAAACCGCCGGTCCACAGATAGATCCTTGTGGACATCCTCTACACATCTTCCTTTCCACCTCATTTGCCCCTCCTACCACACATACTTTCCGATCTCTAAAATAACTCGCCCAAACTTTGATTTCCTTAGATCCAACTTCCACCAATTTACTCAACACCGCATTCTAGCTCAGATTATCAAACGCTCCTTTAAAATCAACAAAAATTCCCAACACGCACTTCTTTTCCGATCACTCCACAACCTGTTTCACTCTTATCCACGCATCCTGTTCCCAATCCTTTCACGAATCCGAACTGACGCTCGACCTTCTTCTTTCAAGTACTCTCGCCAATCTCCCCACCAGTACTCCATCAAACACTTTTTCCATCACACTCAACTAACGGCGGATGGGCGGGTCTAGTACTTGCCAACACAAGACTGATATTGGCAAATGACATAGCCTCTAAGGAAATAACGGATGGGTGGGCGGGGCTAATACTTGATAAGATAGGATTGATTTTGCCAAATGATATACCCTCTGAAAAAATCTCGAGGTTCTAGGTATTTAGGTTTGGAAAGCATTTGGAAGTGCTTTGGAGCCTCTAATGTCTTTTGTTATAACAATTTAATCAAATTTCTTAGGATACGTCATTTAAGTCATATCTCATTTAACAAAATCAGTCTTATCTTAGCCCCGTCCACCACCCACCCTCTCTTTTGTTAGAGGGTATGCCATTTGCCAAAGTTAGTGTTACTTTAGCAGGTACTAGCACCGCCCACCTGTTCTCTCTTTTCTTAGAGCGCATCTCATTTGCTAGAATCAGTCATATCTTACCAGGCTACTAGCCCCGCCCACCCACCCTCTATTTCCTTAGAGGGTATGTCATTTGCCAAAGTCAGTGTTGTCTTACCAGGCTAATGGCTCCGCCCACCCACCATCTCTTTTCTTAGAAAGTACCTCATTTGCCAAAATCAGTCTTATCTTACCAGGCTACTATTCCCGCCCACCCACCCTCTCTTTTCTTAGAAGTTATGTCATTTGCCAAAGTCAGTGTCATCTCAGCAGGTAGTCCCCACCCACTCTTTTCTTAGAGGATATGTGATTTGCCAAAATCAGTCTTATCTTACCAGGCTACTATCCCCGCCCACCCACCCTCTCTTTTCTTAGAAGTTATGTCATTTGCCAAAGTCAGTGTCATCTCAGCAGGTACTACCCCCACCCACTCTTTTCTTAGAGCGTATCTCATTTGCCAAAATCAGTCTTATCTTACCAGGCCACTATACGACCTCTGTAATGACTTATTCTTATCCATGTCCTTAAAGAGGATGACCAGTCGCTCTACCTTCCATTCGTCCGGAACCCATCCTTCCTCCACACATGCATTAAACACCTTCAACACATACTCCGGAACAGTCTTCCACACAAGCGCCATCATTTCAGGCGTCACATGATCCATTCCCGGCGACTTCTTCCCACACTCCTCAAGCTCCTTTCAACCTCATCATAATTCACTCTCTCCACGACACCCTCCACCCCTTCATACAATTCATAGTTCTTGGGAACGTCAACTGGAAAAAACTCTCTCCAAGTTTCCGTTTTCCTATCACCGTCCCATACGCCTACCAGTCCTTCGTTCTTCTCACTCCTACAGAGCTTATAAACTGCACCCCACGGATCTGCATTGCCAACAAACCGGACAAAATTCCTCCACCATAAGACCTTTGTCTCCTTGATGGCCTTTTTATAATGTCTGAGCAAGCCTTGGTACTCGAACCGGCACCTCTCGTTTCCGTCCAAATTCCTCTCTCATTTACGAGTCAACTGCCATTTTTTCGTGCTTTCGCAACTCGACCTTTTGAACCTTTTAGTACCTTTAACAAAACTTTTTGCAGGCTTTCTAGCTGCTCCCTACCCGGAAGTCTCGCGAAGCTTTCAGGACTGGTC